ATCGGGATAAGCTTCGACACTAGCCACGTGTGCCTCCTCACGGTAACAGGCCATTTTGCAATGCCAGGTTATCCAGGGTTGCCAGATTTTCATTTTGAAAAATCATGAGCCCCCCCCGCATTTTTGATATTTTCATTGTATTCCTACTCATCTGCATATTTTTCATAACAAAAAAATTTTGATAATAGTTTTGTTCCAACACTTCAAGAAACCGTAAAATGTACCGTCACGATTCTGCGCAAAACCAAAAATTTCTGCGTAGAACCCAATGAAGTAGAAAGAAGAGGTTTGGAATGGGATTTCATTCAATTGATTGCAGAATGAGATAGCGCTAGTGAGGTCAAAAAATCTATTGGATCTCCCATATCTCTCACTCTAACCCTAACTGAGATAGCGCTAGTAAGGACAAGAAAATCTCACGGATCTCTCCTGTCTTCTCACTCTAATGTTGGCCGCAAATATATGTATTGAGTAGATAGGCAAAGGGCTATTCTAACCTTCTTACTACTTCATTGGTAGAACCCGAAATTCGTTTACAGAGTGGTTTCGAAACCGTTCACGGGACGATTTTTGACGTGCTGGAACAAACCTAATATTAAGTATGTCATTACCCTTGGAACCACTCAGTATACAAATTTCGGATTCTACGCACATTGTATTGTACCCTGCTGTGTTGGAACAAAGCTGTTGTCAAATTCTAACTCGCAAACTACAACCACCGCTACCATTACTAGAAAGAGAAAGTGAAATATAGTTATATTATGGTCTAGAAAAAAAAGAACATCGTTTTATAGTCGGCACTTGTCGTTGTCGACCGAACTAAAATGTTTGAAAGTAGGCAACCCACAATTTCTCTAGCCGTTCGGCGTTGATTAAGGAAAACGCAGCCTAAAAGGATGTCGTCGGTCAGAAATCGAGATATGTTCCCTTACAATTTTTTAAAAATCGGGACATTTGGCATTTAATTCGTGAATCGGGAGGCTCGGAAATATTTGTACAAATCGGGACTGTCCCGTCCCGCCTAAATCGGAACGTCTGGCAATCCTGGCCATCAGGCGATACTCAATCGCCCGATGGGCCAGGCCGCCGCTGCACTTGTTCAAATCATCCCCTGCTGCTGAAGGTCTTGCGGGAACCATCCACAAGGGCAAAATAACCTCTGCCCTTCAAAATAATTGTTGTTTGGAATTTTCACACTGGCCAATTTCCGCCCGGTAATTTTAGTGTTTTGTATCGCTGCTCAATTGGTTTTTGTTTTTATTGAAGTGAAAACTTCTTCAAGCGCACTTACAAACAGTGCCGGACTTAGGCCTTTTGCCGCCGAGTACAGATTTATCGGATCGACGCCTCAAATATGCCATTACAGAAAAAAAAACAACAAGTTGAATGTGAACGCATAATTTTTTTTTGTACAGTAACGAAATAGTTATTTAAACATTAGAGTTTTGAAAATGACTTTTTTCTCACGGCCGAGACAGTTTGTTGCGAGTCGAGCGAGTGTAAAATATGATATTGTGCAACAAATGCTGAAAATAGCACTTTTCACACGCGTGGGGAAGTTCGGTGGCATGAACCGCAGGCGGGTGGCACAAACCCCACGAGTGTGAAAAGTACTTTTCACAGACGTTACAGAGTATACTTTTTCTACTATAGGAATTCACATTGAGATTTTTTTTTGTACGTACGCTGAATGCAGTCAGAGTTGCTTGCAGAACAAAAATTCAGTGGAAGAGTAATTTATATTTTAGCGTGCAAAAAGTACTTTTCGTCCCCTGGGTGTCCCCGGTACAGCTCATTTTTAGGAACAAGCAACATTTTTGAAGTACCTATTTTTGTAAGGTATATTTAAAATTAAATACCTATTAAACATAAATCAAACTAATAATATAAGAATACCAAATACCATTTCTCATTATTTCAAAAGATTTCTCATTTTTTTCATCACTGATCAATCGCAGAAAAAATAGTACATGTATTTCGGAGGAAAAGCACATTCTCGGCCTTCAATGTTTGCCGGCCTCGGCTGCGCCTCGCTCGTCAACTTACACCATCGGCCAAGAATCTGTCACCTGAATCCACAATATATTATTTTTGAAGAAAGCCCGTGGGTATACTATTTTATTGAACAAATATTATAAAATTTACCATTTATTATACCATTACTATTTTTCTTGCCTTTAATAACTTGGCAAAAGAATTCCATGTAGGTAACTGTTTAATTTGGAACAAAACCGCACTTCCCTATCAGGAAATTACAATTTACCTTTTTACCGCGACTGGACTGCCAAAATCTGTTTATTATAGTTGTTTATGTATCAAGGAATTATGAGGGTGTTAATACTCTAGGGCAAAGTTTGCCACCAATTGCTCGTGGGTATTAACACCTGATAATTCCCGTGGTACATAGATAATTTTATTTCCTACTGAATTTACTGTATTTTGTCCATTTTTATAAAGAAATAAACCATAAATCAAAATTTCTATTTTTTGTCAAAGTTTCACCTATTCAAGGTAAAAGCGGGAGTTATGGATATCCTTAACTCCCTTGGGAGTTATAATATCCTTAACTCCCGCGCGGGAGTTATGAAATCCTTAACTCCCTTGGGAGTTAAGACCCTGTTTATGATTATCGTAAGCAAGGTATTATATGGTTATAATAGTTCAGTAGTAAATAATTTTTTTCAAAATTAATAGCTTTGTTCCAACCCAGCAGGGAACCGTACATTTCACCATCAGGATTCTGCACAACACGTAAAATTTGTAGGAAGAATCCAAAATTGGTATACAGAGTGGTTCCGATAATCCGAAACTGTTCTTGGGACGGTTCTTTGGCGGATTGGAACAGACCTTATAACATGATTGTTGAAGTTTTTTTTTTAATAAATATTATGGAAGAGAAAAGGCGGCTTCGCCGCCTTGTACCGCCGCTTAAAATTTTACCGCCGGGTCTTTTGGAACCCCCAGAACACCCCTAAATCCGGCACTGCTTACAAACGTTTTTCTGGGTAGTGAATGAGATTGAGCTCATTCGCAGTGGCGTAGCGAGAAGGGGCAGAGGGGGCCCCGGGCGGCATACGAGAAAGGGCGGCAAATTTTAATCAAAAATCTAACTCTAAATCGCCATCGTCTAAATAGGGAACTGGCAAGTGGAATAAAATTATCCAAATTTCTTTTAAATCGATAGTTATTTTGCACAATATTTATATGACAAGTTTTTATTTAACTGATACCGCCCTTGTTACACAAAAAATAATACTAAATTTGAATAAAAAAAATGTCCCGCCAAAACAATGATTCTATGATGGCCAGCTATTTTGACGTCACGATTCTATAAACAAACCTGTCAATAGGGAAATTGCAAGTGGAATAAAATTTTGAAAAGCAGTCCTTTACAATATTCTTCTACAGGTTAATTTGGTATTCGGTGGGCATGTGGGATTCTGTAACGAATAGAGATATTTTCGCTTTGTCTATTGACGTCCCCTCTCTATTGATTTCGAAAAGAGAGAAGAAGACAGCAAATGCCATAGCGATAGGGATAACGATTTCTATCCGTTCCACAATCCCGCCTCAGGATTACCTACTGATCCTCATAAGGCGTACGTTCGTCAATTGGCGAGTCGGCAGGGCAGGGCCTGCGAGTGACGACATCACTATCAGCAGCTTAAGTATAGTGGTGACGTCATCGATGACGTCCGCCACAGGCCTCGATGGGATGCTTGCAATTCAGGCTCGGCTAGTGCATTGTACGCCGAGACTTGATAGTCGGCTTCCCATTTTTTATTCCAAAGAAGAAAAGCAATAAAGTATAAACAAGTCCCCCCCCACCCCTATTATAACACCCTAGCGTCACCACTGCTGCCCCAGCAGGAGTTCGTTTGCTGCGTTTGTTGTTTACGAAATCTTGACGTCACGAGCGCTGTCATATTGAAACTCTTAAACCTCGCGTTTCCACGCCAAAGTTTTTGATTTGAATTTCAATAATTTTTTTTTCGTACAACGTATAAATTTAAAATGGAAAAGAAGAAAACTAATATCTGATCACTAGAAGTACCTATCTAAAAAAAATTAATTGAGAATATGAAAATTTCCTATTACAGATGCTTTATTTGAATTTTACCCTCACTTTTACTACTTTTTTTGACTGACTAATATATAAAATAGAGGGTGGCGAATTTCCGGTTGGCCCCAGGCGACGAAAGCTCACGCTACGCCACTGCTCATTCGGTCAGATTTCGGATACAATCGGCTCGATCGAGTAGAGCAGCTCAGCCAAGCGAGAGAGAGAAACAGTCAGCAATGCGAGAGAGGGAGGGATAACGCGCTTGGGATCCATTCAAGACTCCCGACTCCACCTAGAAAAAATTTCGGCGACGTTGCCGATATTATTGGCAAAATTTTAATTGCTTGTATTGTAAAAGGTTTTCTGGTAATGGCACACACATGACGTCATCAGGTGGTTCTTATGGAGATTTGCATTATGTTTAGGCGTAAGGATGACGTCATAAAAGTCAGGCAACCTTCCTCTTTTAAACAACCTTGATCCAAACCACAAATGCCAGGATTCAATATTACGGCAATGGTCATTTATCCTACGTTTTGAATCGTTTTGATTTTCGAAGTTTTTACTGCTGTCGTGTGGTCTTAGCCTACACAGTATTTTTTTTATTTTTCGCTGCTTTTATGTCACAATGGCTTTCGGTTATAGTTCATTGAATGGAAAATTCCTGAAAAACATCAATTTGCCTTTGCAAACAGAGATGGCGCCGGAGCTATTTCTAACATCAGTAGGTACTTGCACAAAATATGTTAGCTGTGCAATACTGCAAACTGCAAAATAATCATAGGGTTTTAGAGAGATATCGGTGAAAAAACAGAAAGGATTGCAAATAATATAATAATATGAAAAGAGAGAAGGAGAGGAGTATCGCCGTTTCAATCTTCACAATTTTACAACGTTGCAAATTTAGTCGCCATATTGAACGTTTTTGACAGGCGACGGAAAAGGCCTCACTTATTCTGGAAACGTGGTTGTCACAGTTTGGCAATGCAATAATAACTAAATTTGTCAATTTAATTAATTGCAAATATCAACAATCTAAATTATTTCTAGTTTCCCGGTGAAATATCAAACTACGAGAATTATTTTATTATTGTTTATGGTAAGTAAATGGATTCTGTTATTGATAATGCTTTTCCAATAATTTTTGGCTAAGGGGATGAAGCCGGTCAAGGTTTCGGGCACCTATACCTATATTATATATTCAATAGTAAAACAAGCCAGCGAAATTGCCCATTATCAGGCTAACATTAACATTGTTATTGTAAAGTTATCCATAAAATCTCAGCCATAAAATTATCGAATTGTGGTTAGGCCTACTTTTAACTATACCGGCCCGATTCTCATATACATATAATCTTTTTTATAACTGGCTTTCCTTCCCAAAAGTGCGCTAATCGAAAAACTATGGATTTACTGAGATATAACCCAGGAAGATTCTGAGAGTACTGTACTAGAATGCTGAAGTGTCCCAAAAAAATAAAAAAGTCGTGATTTTTGCCTTTTTTCGATTGCAGTTTGTACAGGCCTGTTTGAGGCACATTGAAAATAACTATAAATGTTAGCTACTCACTACTACCAGCAATCAACCAAAATAAATTTTGCGTAATGCGCCTGAGCGTCTCAAAAAATGTGTGATTTTCGATTGTAGTTTGTAGTCTCTACACGGCTGTTTGTGCCACTTTGGAAACATCTAAAAATGTTAGCTACTATCATTAGTAACCAATTAAAGTTTTTTTTTGTACTAATGCCTCGCTGCCCGAGTGTCTCAAAAAAAATTAAAACTCTAAAAAGACGTGATTTTTGCCAATTTTCGATTGTAGTCTCTGCACGGTTGTGTGTGACACATTGAAAACTATAAATACCTATTAGCTACTACTACCAGCAATCAACAAACTTCAGTTTTGTGTAATGCCTCGCCGTCTGAGTGTCTCAAAAAAAAAAAACTCTAGAAAAGGCGAGATTTTTGCCAATTTTCTCATTGAAATTACTTTGAAAATAGCTAAAATGTTAGCTACTCATCCATCAATCGACCGGAATTTTTTTTTCCAGACACTCAGATGGCGGGGCGTTACACAGAAATAACTTTGGTTCTAATTTTTTTTTGAGACACTCAGACGGCGGGGCATCGCACAAAAATAATTTTGGTTGATTGCTGGTAGTAGAAGTTAACATTATAGCTATTTTCAAAGTGCTTTTTGACCTTTCCCTTAATTATTGCTCTAGAAACTTATTTACTCGTCTAGAGTTTAAGCTTCTCTGAAAATAACCCCAATATCCAAGTCGTCTTTTCTGCCAATGATGCTGTTTGGAAAGTTTTGTGCTATTTCTATTTCCCATTCGGTGTCTATATGTCACTTCTCACACGTTTCTTAAATACATTATTATTTCCGAAGCTTATAAGTACCTAGCTGTTTTTCGAGCTCTCTGTCAATATTTTCCAAGTCTTTGTCTTTCCCTAATGTATTTTTGGTTCAATGCATCGTCATGCAAACAATTCAAAAAATTCTATTCAAAGAGGGCGCCGGGTTTTTCTAGATAAATCCCGAGTACACTGTCTGATAGTGATTCCCACGAGAGTCTGGTTTTCGAGAATCTCTCATGGTCTCGTCTCGTTTTCGAGACGATACTCGGACTGTCTCGAACAAGACGAAACGAGACTTTTACTAGTCTCGTCTCGAGTCTCGTGCGAGAGTCTCGCAGGTTAATATTTCTGCGTGTACACAAAGAACACATGTAATATAAATATATAAAGTAGCCGGACTTTCGCGAACCCGTTATCTACCTACCCCAGTTCATTGCCTACCCCTTCCCCAGAACGCTATTGGCAGTGGCGTATATACCGCTGAGTGAATAGTTTAAATTTTTACACAATATTTTCCATTTTAGATTTTCACATGTAATATTTTATAATTACATAATAATTTTGCACGTTCTTCTAATTTCGATTTTTCTTTTTTTCTTTTTGTTGCCAAGGCCAACGCATAATAGTTAAACAATATACCACCGTTCAGACCGCCAGTGGCGTCAGCGATTTCCATTTGGTGCACGCTGCACCAGCGGAGCAGTGCACGCGAAACTTGGTGACGCACCTTCGGTCAAATTGAAACTGCCCTAATTTCCTACGCTGCGCACTGTAGTACTGTACTGACCTGCACTGCTCCGACTGCATCGGCGCGTCGCCACTCGCCTGCTTCTTCCGCTAGGGTTTGGGTACGGACTACGGTACGAGTTTTTATGAGGTTGGGCATTGGCAAAGAAGATAGAAACTTAAATTTTGTTATTTTACAACAGTTGTACCTTTTTTTTTTCTAATTTTACATTATAGCAAATAGGTAAGTATCCTGTACTAGACTCTAAACTAGAACAAGATTATGCATGACGATATTTCGAAACATTTGCGAGACTCTCGTACCAGACGCGAGGCAAGACTCGAGACAAGACTTCTCATTTCATCGGCGAGACGAGACAAGACTTAATGAAAGTCTCGTCTCGTTGGTCTCGTGGGAATCACTACTGTCTGCTATAAATAGCGCGTAGTAGTAGCGTATGAGTCAGTTTTTAATTCGATTTTTCTCGCGTTCGTTTCATCAAGTGATAAATAAATTTTATAAAGTCAATCTATCTTCTATCTATATATATATATATAAAAATCAATGTTCGCGGGGTATCCGGATATGCGCTCCAAAACCACTTATCCGATTACGATGAAACTTTGGTAGGTTGTTATGGCCATCCCAAGGAAGGTTTGTGGATGGGTTACGCATCTCGGAAAAAGAAATTTATTTTGAATTAATTATTAATTTAATTGTAAACAAATTCATTCACATTACATAACAACATAACCCAACTTTTTTTTGACAGCATGAAACAACGTTGCCATATTTCATTTAGGGCGGGCATTATAAAACTACTTTGAGAGTTAACTTAAAGTTACCTTCTGGAATTACATGTAATTCAAAAAGTTAACTTTAAGTTTTATAATACCCGCCCTTACTTAGGCTTGCCATTTAACAGACGTAACTTTATTATTTTTTGAATTCGAGAACGGCTGGACCGATCTTGAATTTAATACCACATATTCATTTTTTTGTTGATGTGAAGTTCGGTTGCGCGAAACTCTGATACATTGGAACGCTTATAAACAGCCCGGGGCGCTCTAGAACAGCTCTGAAGTGCCTAAAATGCGTCACTGAACTCACTGGAAAGCGACTCTGGTATCGGATAAAAAATAATAAAATTTAAATAGAAAATCAACAACAAAATTTGAAAAAAAGTGTATTATTTCAAAATGTATTTTCACGCTGGCAACGCAGCGGGTCATTAGCTAGTTAGTTTTATAAAAGTTGTTACTGTTTGTGAAGTGAGTTTTAGTAAACCCGGAATCCGCAACAATTTGGTGTCAGAAGTGCGATTATTACAATTAGGATTAGTGGGACCTCGATTTGAGCTAATTAATGGGATTATTTAGCAAGATAATTAATAGTGCGATAATGTGAGCTGATGAGTGAAATAATTGGCAAGTTAACTACTGGAATAGTTTGCGCTAATTAGTGGGAACAATCGGTGAACTGTTATGGAACTGAAATCTAGTGACTTTATGTACTGACTCTATTACTACATTCTACAGACTTCTATAGAATTCTATTTGGAAAACGTTGAGTAATAACGGGTCTTCGAAAAAATGAAAACCAATCAAAGATTGCTTGTTTATTAGGTATTGCAGGGGCGGATCCAGGGGAGGCGCAGGGGGCGCGCGCCCCCCCTGAGAGCCTCAAAAAACCACTCAAAAACTTATTTAAAAAAAATCACATACTTACAGGAAAAAATTATAGAAGAATTTTCCAATAAAATTTTATAGAAAAATTTTCGAAGCTGACACCATTGTTTAATTTATCGTTTTGTTTTTATCAGATAAATTTTTCTTATACTTTTACTTTGAATAGGTATTTTCATTATTTCCTGTTTTTTGATATGAACAGGGAACAAGGTCAAGGTTCCTAAAGTTGATAGGTTGTCTGGTAATGCTAAACAGATGACGTCATCAGGACGATCTTCTGGGGATTTGCATTATGTTTAGGCATCCAGATGACGTTATAAAAGTTTTCAGGCAACCTAACTCTTTCAAACAAACTTGGTACAGGGTATGGTCCAATTTGGACACTTTTAATGGTAAACTCCAATTTCTGAGCAAGATACATCCACTCTGCGAATCAAATTTCATAAAACCTATTGGTAACTATTGGTGCAGACCGCATTTTGATATCTCCAACCGTTATGTCGTTAAAGGGCGTTCCTCGATTTTGATCAATACTGTGAAAGGTTTATAACTTTTTTGTTTATGAAATATGTAATTGATTTTCGCGAAAACTTTCTCGAAATCGGGACCAAACAGAAAAAAAAATTGAGTACATCATTGGATTCTTCTTGAAAAAGTACCTCTAGAATGTTTATACATAAATCAATTATTTTCATAAATAAAAAAGCTATGAAGGTTTCACAGTATTGCTCAAAATCCAGAAACATTCTCTATAATGAAATTTGAACCTCGGAGTGAGGGTTAATTTTTTTGGTATCTGGCTCAGAAATTTACGTTTCCTCTCAAAAGTGTCAAAATTGGACCACCCTGTACATTCTTTAACAACGTAGGTATGTGAAGTAAAAATAAATGTTCAAAAATTCATTGTTGATAATTCATAACCTGCGCCCCCCCCCCCCCCCCCCCTGAAGAAAATCGTGGATCCGCCTCTGAGTTATTGTTTCTTTATTGGTCAGGATTTTTGACATGACATTTTGACATTAAAGTTCATTGACAAAATCAAAGAAAAATATTGCTAAGACATACGCTTAAAACACCATAACAATCTTTGATTGGTTTTTTATTTGAAAACCCGATATAAGAATAGTGACTTCATTACTGGTTTCAACATCAAAAACAAGTCCACGGAGTAATTTTTCTAAAACATTTCATTGTGTTCGCCACAGAACTTTCGATTTAAAAACAAGCTTTAGAAAAAAAGGTCCAGATTACTCTAAATACACAGCAGGAAATAGCTGAAATGGAGTAAGTTAAAAAAATGTTGGCGGACAGAGAGAACAGAA